GAGTCATTCAAAATTACACCTTTGTTTGGCATGAATGTTAATGGTATACTTGAGATCAAAACTTAGTTTTATTTGGTATTTAAGGTACTGAACTCATGGAGCATAACAGCAAGTCCTTTAAAATGTCCAGTTCAAAGCCTTCATTTTATAAATGAGAGAGAGACATTTAAATGATCTGCCCAAATGAGGAGAAATTAGAGAAATGGGTCTAGAAAACAAGTCTCCTAGGTTCTTTCCAAGCCACCATGAATCTTCACTGAAAATAAAGACAATTTTAGATAAAAGATCCATTCACCAAACTATTCTTAGAATTCTTAGGATTTAGCGCAGGAAAGATGCCATCACAAATGAAAACTTACAAGATCAGACTTTATCTTTTATTAAAAATTAAGTAAGTCATGCAACACAACTTTGCAAAACTGGAGTCTAAATCTCTGAACTATCAAAATGAAAGAGAACTCCTATTATGAAGACAAGATAAACATGTAAAATGACTCCTCAAAACATAATTCTATATTAAAAATTCAACTGCATACAACTGGCTTAAATAGCTGTCCAGCATTAAGCAGTTTCAACATTTCATGTTTAATAGAAAAAGTGGAAAAAGTGAGAAATAATCAGTGTCAAGTATGTAATAATAAAATAGTTAAGCTAGTGAGCAAAGATTACAAATGGAAAACCACAAAAATTCACCTTTGATATAGACAGAGTCAAGACCCAGAAAACACCAGCATCCAACTGTGCAGCTCAATGTAGCACAAATATGACTTATGGATAAGTGACTATATCAGTCTTTTCCATTCCCTCTGCCACTCTCATTTCTCAATAAAGAGGAACTAACCGAGCAATACGAGAAGCAGCAAACTAAGAGGGAAGTTATGTCTCCTTTGGAAGTAGAAATCCCCATTAATCACTAGTCAACAAAATCTAATTGTACTGAAATCAAAATTAAACTTCAAGCTGCTTTCTTACTAAGCAGAAAAGCCATCCAATTTAATATAACTGTATGGGTTCAAAATAGCTGCATCACTTACCTCTTCTGGTGTTATGACACCTGTTTCCTTAAACTTCGATTCCTAAAGAGAGCAAAAAGAGTAAGTATTATATTACCCTTCACTTTCAACTGAAAAATATGTGGGGAGCAACCATTTGCCTTGTATCTTTCCAGGGAAATGGAGTACATACAAAATGCACACACACATGCACATATATACATACACACTGGGATGTAACCACAATAAACATGTAATTCCAATGCAGGAAACAGACATGAAAAGAAAAACAACACAATTTGACCAGTGTTTTTATAGAGTAAGGCGCTATGGAAAACCAAAAGTGTTTAAATCAACCTTGAAGCCTTATAGTAATTCTGCACAATAACCAAATATCTTTTTTTAACTTTTATTTAATTAATTATTTAATAAATAATATTTTATTTAATAAATATAAATTTCCAAAGTACAGTTTATGGATTACAATGGCTTTCCCCCTCATACCTTTCCTCCCACCCGCAACCCTCCCATCTCCCACTCCCTCTCCCATTCCATTCACATCAAGATTCATTTTCAATTCTCTTTATATACAGAAGATCAATTTAGTATATATTAAGTAAAGATTTCAACAGTTTGCACCCACATAGAACATAAAGTGTAAAATACTGTTTCAGTACTAGTTATATAGCATTAATTCACATTGTACAACACATTAAGGACATAGATCCTACATGGGGAGTAAGTGCATAGTGACTCCTGTTGTTGACTTAACAAATTGACACTCTTGTTTCCGGCGTCAGTAATCTCCCTAGGCTCTTGTCATGAGTTGCCAAGGCTATGGAAGCCTTTTGAGTCCACAAACTCCGATCTTATTTAGACAAGGTCATAGTCAAAGTGGAAATTCTCTCCTCCCTTCAGAGAAAGGTACCTCCTTCTTTGATGGTCTGTTCTTTCCACTGGGATCTCACTCGCAGAGATCTTTCATTGAGGTTTTTGTTTTTGTTTTTGTTTTTGTTTTTTTGGCCAGAGTGTCTTGGCTTTCCATGCCTATAATACTCTCATGGGCTCTTCAGCCAGATCTGAATGCCTTAAGGGCTGATTCTGAGGCAAGAATAACCAAATATCCTTATTTTACAGCACTGTAAAAATGTCTTAAAGATGCTCAGACATCTTACAACTCAGCCCATACAATATTGGAAACTAAATCATTTAACAATTTCCTATTATTTTCATCTCAAGATATTTACATAATATTCTCTAATCTAAAACAAGAATTCTATTGACCAAATTTTTCAAAACTGTTTTATATGTAAGATTTTGTCATAGAGGCTACAAAGATGAAAAAATTCATTTAGCAATACTATTCATTCAACAAATATTTACTAACTACCACGTGCCAGGCACTAATCAAAACACTGGGAGACAAGTATGAATAAAATTCTTGCCCTCATAAACATCCTTGCCCTCAAGAAGAGTTCAAACTCTAGCTGAGAAATAAGAGTCAGAGATAGTAAATACCAAATCATGCAAGAAGACGAAGTAGAGAGATGGCTGGGGAGAGACGGCCATTTAAAATAGAATGCGAAGCACAAAGACTTCACTATGAAGAGGACTCTAATACCCTAATAAGAACTATTAACAAAGCAAAATGTTACTTAGTCTTTCACTTGCTAGGGAAAGCCATTACTTCTTTCCTGAGGATTTTGCTTTTTCTCTTTGTCTTCTCTCATCTAGCAGAAAGATATAAGGATTCTCTGTAATCTAACAGTTTGCAGAGTAGTGACAAGGTCAGTGCCATTAACTCTGCTTCCCTTTAAACTAAAATACACATCATACATATTGACATGCTAACACTTCTTTTTCCAGTTTGGTGAACAAGTCAAATGATCCTTCAAAACCTACTTTTTATCATAAATTCAGTAAAATACAAGTGGTCTATAAAATTGCTATTTTATATTTAATCTGGAAGGTCTCTTGCTCATCTCTCCCTGAAACTAAAAAACCGTGCATTATTCAAATAGTTTATACTTAGATGGATCTACTATTATGAAAAGGTAACACAATATGCAAGAGAAGCATCTGATTCAAATGTCAAAACTACCTTCAAATTTTGAATAGCTAGCTGAATAATCAACTGAAATTGCCCTCACAATACACAAATAAAAGCAAAATAGAGTTGAATTCTCATTTATAACTGCTCCTGTTTTCTTGTTGGGTCAAGGTATCATTTTCAGCTGTTTTTAGAAATAGCTTTTTAAAACGTACAGATCTAATATTCCTCTTTGTAACAGAAAGGGAGCAAAGCAAAATTGTCCATTACTCTTCACGTATCAGAATATCTCATCCTCACTAAAAAAAGCTGTAAGAAAAACAAAACAAAAAAAACTAGGTAAGAACTTGCCATTTATTTAGTATCACTGCTCACTCTTAAGGCCAGAATAAAGCTACAACACAACTCAGAAAGAAAAGCTTGAATGCAGTTATAGAAATTAATCTTTTGAAAAGTCACTGATGTAATAGCTAATATGTCACAATTTTTAACTGAAAAACGCTGGGCTGTCAATACACTCATACAGTAAGACTGTACATCCAGGCGGGTCCGGCTGCTCCTTGTTCTCCGTGAACTGCAAGATGAAGAACCAGTGACAGCTATTTTAAAGCCTTTGCAAAGACAGGCTTTGCTCCTTCCCTGGGGTTCCATGTTACAGAGATAACGATGCGGACTTCACCTTCTTCCTCTGATACCTACAGGAGCCGCAACCCAGGTCACAACTCACCCAGGTCAGCCCTATCACTAACAGACTTTTCACGACACTTGCAAGAAAAAAGTGACAGTGTCCCTGCAGCATCAAAAGCTGATTACCTATTTTAATGTTTAAAAAGTTTCCCAAACTCCCGATGTTAGGAGTCACCGTTCTCACACTCACTCAGGGGCCGACCTCGTTCCAAGCCCAGGACGGGGGGACGCGGCAGCACGCGCCACAGCGTCGCCCCTCGCCTAGCGCGGGGGAGCCCGACAGCCCGGCGAGACCCACGGTGGGGGCTGCACCAGCCCAGTCTCCCACACCTGCCCCGCCAGGTCTCCGCAGCGTTGAACTTGTGCCCGAAATCCCAGGCAAGCCGGGCCCGGCTTACCTTGAGGACCGGCGTCAGGTACTCAGCTACTTCCAGGGCCTTTCCCTTCACCGTGTTAATCACATTCTGCATCCTGGGGCCGGAGCAGCGGCCGGCCCCGCGACGGCGTGGAGAGGGCAGGCCCGGCAGCAGCTGGGCAGTCGGGCGTCCCCACTGCCGCCGACTCGCACAGAGACCCGGCCCGGGGCGTCCGAGGGACTGGACGGGCCGCGACGGGCCGCACGGGACGAGGGGGAGGGGCGGGGGCCGCGCGCGAGGGCAGGGCGCGCGCTCCTCGCTCCGGGCAGTGCACGGCGGCCCGGGCCCAGCCGCCACTCGGCCGCAGGAGAGCCGGTGGAGCCAAGGGCGGTCCCGGGGGGAGTAGCGGGCGCACGCGCACCCTTCACCCCTTGGACAGCTGTCTTGTCCCCTTTAGCTTTCACGAGCGCCCCTTCCGACTTCCCCTTCCGCCTCTCTCTCTCTCTTGCCGTAGCTCCGCCGCCACCTGGGCCTCACGTGACACCGTACTCCTGCCACGTGACGAGAGAAAGGCCGTGCCGGGGACGGGGTCGGGCGGCTTCTCCCCGCCCTCCGGAAGCGCAACACTGAACGCGCCTGCGCAAGGGGGTTCGGGTTCGCTCTTTCCCAGCTGGGGTGTAGCCGTGCTTTTCGTTCCGGAATATAAAGCTGGGTGCAGAGGTTGTCATGGCCTCTGTTTCCTTCCCATGGCTTTCCCGGCTGTGAACAACAAAGCTACTGCCGCTACTCCGGGAACTAGACAGTTACTGTGTCAGATGTAGGATGCTCGTGCCTCCAATAGACGCTCTGCTCGGGGTCGGAGGTAACCGCGTCCAGCGGGCAAAGAACTGCGCGTGCGTGTGAGAGAGGGTGCGCCGGAGGAGACCCCTGCTGCGCATGTGTGACGAGAAGGGTTTCCCTGGCGGTGGAGGGAAACCTGGCCGCCTGGTGTAAGGCGGTGGCTCTTTGCTGTCCTATACGCTTGCGCCCGCTGGGCGGTCAGATCGGTATTTGCTCTGCGGTCCCCGCCCCGGGCTCTGTGCGCCCTCCCTGTGGCTATGCTGGGAGGCTTTGGGCAAGTACTTACGGGGCCTGGGGTTTAATGTCCTCAGCCTATTCAAGATGCACCTTAGATTCATGAAGCCTAAGATCTATGGCCCGCACTGATTGGTCATTATAACGAAATCTTTGTCGACAAGCTCTTTTCTCCACCCCGGGAGGAGCAGCTAGGAGAAGGAAAACACAGTTCCCGAAATTTTCTTACATAACAAAGTTGCCAATAAGAATTAAAGCTAAAGAATTGCTTTTCTGCAGGCCCAGAGGTTTGTTGCTCCCTTGCTACTGTTGTCAACATTTCTAATCTGGCCCTACTTTCTCTAACAGATGGTGCCTTTTTCATTGTCTGTTCCTCCTAGTTTCTCCTGTACTTCAGGTTTCTTGGTTCTAGTACATAGCCGTAGCCAGACGTCTACAGAAATTCCTTTTCTGTTCTTCGCCTTCAGTGGTATTTGCATTATGCTTAATCTTCAGGTGTATCAACAAGATCGCATGAAAGCATTCTTCTTGAAGGCAATTAGAAAACGGTGGGATGGAAAGAAAGTGCTGCAGCCACCCGAGGTTATGCGGCTTCTCAACCATGTATACGTTAATCCTCGGTGCCATATTCATTGCTTTGAGCTCAGGACGCGTCTTACTGGTAAAATACTCCAGCAATGAAGGTAAGTTGCCTTGGAGTATGTGTGGGGCACTTGCATCTAAGCATGTGTTGTCTCGCCTGTCTTTGGTTTCGTTGCGCATAAAATGGGAACAACATGTTGGTGTTCCCATTCATGTGAATGATTAAAGCATGCTTCAGTTTGATTCTTTAAGGTTTCATCCTCAGCAGAAAAAATTAAAGTTGGTTGTTGCCTGAATTTGGGTCATTCAAGTACAGAATCAAAAGCCTGAGTGCAAAAGAAATCATAACCTCTGACTTGCTCTGGTCACCAGGTGGTTCTGGGCCTACAGCAAAATACATAATTACAGCTTGTTTTGAAACAGGCAGAAGGAAATATGTGGTAACTTGGCATTTGTGATTTACTATCATAATTATTGTATCAATGGGACAGTATAGGTTATAAGGCTTGTTTAGTATTGTCGTGAGCCGAGGCTGTGTTGGTTCCAGTAAGGATTTTATTATGCAATGGGGAAGTCACACATTTTAATTCACACAACACGCTGGGCAAACCGACCACCCAAGGTTTCCAGAGTAACTCCGGTGCTCTTCACGCTGCGTCTTAGCCACAGAGGGCGGATTCTCACAGCATCCACACAGGTGGTGCCTCTAAGCCGAAGAACGCAGGCCTCAAAGGATGAGTAGAAGGGCTTTGAGGTCGCTGGCTGGGAGGACTCTCTTGCAGAAAGTCTGAGTGCCAGGGGTCCACCTGGAGCTCTCGCCCTGCCGCTCTCAGGAGAGTCTGTTCGGAGAGTCTCACTGGGCCTCTTTAGTCTACAGTTTATATACACTTTTGATGATCAGTAGACAACTGATAAGGTACCGAGAGGGTGTGTTCAGGCCATGGGTGGTTCTTATCAAGTCCATGCAGATCTCCTGCAGTCAGTTTAGCTCTTGTTTATTTTTCGTTAATATTATGGTGAAGCCGTTTAATTTCTGCTCCTTACAAGTATGCACTGAAGAAATTTTCTGTTATTTTAATGTAATTTAATACTAAAACTTTAATTAATTCAATTAACACTTTAATTTGGTTAGTTTAGTTGGGTTTTGTGGGATTAAACTCCCACAGAGTTATAGCTGAATATGTCTCACTAGGTATTGGCAACACATAAAATCATGACATTGCAACCCTTAATGCTCCTCTTAGTCACATAATGTGTATATGAGTCTCAACTTCAGTTAACACGTATCTGTGGTGCACTAGGCTAAGTATTATAACAAAGTTCAAAGTGCATTAAGACATAGACCTTGTCCTCAAGAACATAATTTATTAGGAAAGCCATACATGTAAACATCATAAAAATACATTTTTTTAACTTTTATTTAATGAATATAAATTTCCAAAGTACGATTTATGGATTACAATGGCTTCCCCCACATACCGTCCCTCCCACCCACTACCCTCCCCTTTCCCACTCCCTCTCCCCTTCCATTCATATCAAGATTCATTTTCGATTATCTTAATATACAGAAGATCAGCTTAGTATACATTAAGTAAGGATTTCAACAGTTTGCTCTCACACAGAAACATAAAGTGAAAAATAATAGATGATTTTTTTTTTAAATGATGATGAAATCAGATCAGACCTATTGTCATGTTTAATCCCAGTGAGAGTCAAGTTGGGAGTTGATAATTTTTTTTTTTTTTTACAGAGGATCAGTTTAGCATGCATTAAGTAAAGATTTCAACAGTTTGCACCCCCATAAAAACACAAAGTGAAATATATTGTTTGAGTACTCGTTATAGCATTAAGTCTCAATGCACAGCACATTAAGGACAGAGATCCTACATGAGGAGTAAGTGCACAGTGACTCCTGTTGTTGACTTTACCAATTGACACTCCTGTCTATGGCATCAGTAGTCTCCCTATGCTCCGGTCATGAGTTTCCAAGGCTATGGAAGCCCTCTGAGTTCTCCGATTCTTATCTTGTTTAGACAAGGTCAAATACATTTTGATAAATACAATAATTGAAATATCTCCCAAAAAGCAGAGATAGTCTAGAGGAATAAGTAATACAGTCTGTCTGAGAGGTGATGATGGGGAATGCAGGAGGCTCAGGAAACACTTTCCTGATTGGGTGATCATTGTTGATCCACAAGAAGATAAGGTCTCTAGAGGTATTAGGCAGCAGCCTGTAGCAAGGAACACCAGCGTGAACAGGTGGCATATATTCTGAGAACATGCTGTTCAGAATCACAAAAGTGGAAGGACTTGGAAGACAGAGGAATGGGTGCTTCACTGGAGAGGGAAGTAGTGGTCAACTGTTAGGGACTTCATTTGCTGTAATAAGGAACTGAGACTTTATTTGCTAGTCTCTACAATATGGAAAGTAAGAAATACTTGGGAAATTGTAAATAAGAGGATAAAATGAGATACTATTATGGTAGCTGGGTGGTAAGAAAGAAGACTAGAAACAGGGTAGCCAGTTTGGTGCGTTATTGGAAATTTAACTACAAACAGGTAAGACTTAACTTAAGCTTTGGATGTACGAATAGTGAAGATAGACTGAAGAAATATTCAGAACATAGAAAAGCTGGGACTTGCAGAATGTACTGAGTGTGAGGACTAAAGGAGATAAAATAACCAGATAGCTTAAAGTTTGCTGATTTGAGTGCTGAGTGAATCAGTGATGTTCTTGGCTGAGATGAGGAATATTAGGGGGAAGCTGGGCAATGAGAGTTCAGAGAGATTAGCATTCTAGCTATGTACCTTCCATGAGGCCAGGACCAATGTCTTCATTTGCTGTATTTTCTGGATCATACATGGGAGAGATGAGAGAATTAAATGCATGTGACTCTTAGGAAAGGAAAGAGTTTGGAAACAGAAATGCAATGTCATGATAAAATAAGGATTGAAGCATGTCTTGAGATTTCTTATTAGAAGATGTTTGGTAATCTCAGACTGGCTGGTTTGAGTACAGAGGTAGAATCAGAAACTGGATTACTAGGGGAGAAGATCTAAATGGAAGATGAATAAAGTGGAGATAATGAATGTTGATGCTGTTCTAGGTTGAGAAGGAGAAAGTATGGTAGCCACAGGAGATAATTATCTTTTTATTTTTTTTTAGATTAAGCGAGTTTTGAAGATGTTTGTAGGCTAACAACAGGAAGCCAGTTAGAGAGAAATACAAAGGAAATATACCGAAGCCAAAGAAAACACTTCTGAGAGCTAATCCCTGAGGAGAAGGGAATGTTTTAAAGGGCAGAATGGAAAGGCCGTAGCCCATTTTTCTGATATTGAAGCCAGGAGAAATGAATGCAGTGAAGATAAGATGTGTGAGTGTGGATAGGCAATGAGTGGATTGTGGTCACACATCTTTCTGTCCCATAGTTTGGGATCACCTATAAGAGGAATACAAGAAATAAAGAATCAGAAATCAAAAGGAGTTCAGTAGTAATGACAAGGGTTTGAAAATTATCATCAAAGCCTCCCATCCTTTTATGCGCGTGTTGGCTTCTGATTGTTCCGATGAAAACTGTGACAAGTATCGTTGAGGGTAACAGTGTGATGTAAGTCTAGTTTTGAGTTCAGAAAAGGAAGATGTCTTAATTAGCCTTTCAACTGATGGGGAAGTTCAAGGGGCATATATTTATATTGAGGTAAACATATATTAAGTACAGGAAACTAAGAACCAAATATGTATAGGTTACTAACATGGGGCCTTGCACCTAAGGAGCTCACATTCTAAGGTTAACATATAACATCAAAACTAATTCTTACACAGTGTAATAGTGACCATTACAAAGCTTTATAGGTTGTGCTACAGGAACAGTGAAGAAAAAAGAATTTGCTGTTTAGACTGAGAAGATCAAGGGAAACAACACAAAAAGGAAGAAAGAGTGTTCTGGACAGAACACCAAGCTGGCTTTTCCCTATACTTGGCAAGTTTGATTTGAGCAAATATGAGCAAAAGAAATAAGGAAATGTTTTCAGATAGGAGAAAAATGCATTTCTCAAAAGCACCTGATACCATTTATGTTTGACCTTAGCAAAATTATAAAGTAAGCTGTTTGTAAGTAGAGGTAATAGTTAAGAACAGGGCATATTAACCAAACCTCACTACTTAGTTTTGTTGATGGTAAGTTAGTACATAGCTTCCCAAGTCATCAATGTGTTTGGAAATGTCAGAGGATTTCTTCTCAACACTAGAGGTCAGATAACTTCCTTCTTTTACTTCAGTTTGCCATTTATCCCAGCATGCCAAATATTAGTGTTTTTTGGGTATGTTATGACACGAAACAGATTAGAAAACTCCAAGTTAGAATGTGACAGGCAGAGTGAGCATACCTTGCTTTTAGAAAGACCATGCAGATCACAAGAAGAACCATGAGCTGGGTAATAATTCAGCAGGAAAATTTATAATTGTTAGATGCTGAGCATTGATTGATGGTCAGTGTAGAAGGCAGTGTCTAATGCCATGCCAGAGAGCTTTCTTTGCCTTTTTGTCTCACATCCTCAGCATATTCGCAACTTGAATAAAAACATGAGAACATGTTTCTCAAGTTCAAGGATAATAAAAAGCTGAGTAGGGTAGGGATAGCTGATATATTAGATGAGTTGATTATTCAGAAATCCAAAAGTGCAATGCCAGTTGGAAGAAATTTAACATAACCATGTTATAATTTTTTTCTATTTCAGAGAACAAGTATGATTATCTTCCAACTACTGTGAATGTGTGTTCAGAACTGGTGAAGTTAGTTTTCTGTATATTTGTCTCAATCTGTCTCATAAAGAAAGGTGAGTTCTTGAAATGGTATTATATACTTGCTAAAAATCACAGAATCAAAATACGTTCAGACTGGAAGGAGCATTTCATATCATTAGTCCCTTGATTCTACAAGAGATGAAGCTAAGATACAAACGTATGGGTGGAGTAACGGCCTCAGAAAAGTGTTGTGCAGAGCTGAATAGAGGGTACAACTGGCACAGTTAGAAATATAAAGGAAATATCCTGACACCAAAAAAAATACTTACAAGGGCTAATTCCTAAGGGGAATTTCCTATGATGGTTTCACACAGCAAGGAAGTTTTTATTCAAAATCAGGATTTTCTGAATCATTGTGCTGTCTGACTTAATAGGTATCATGTTACAAAGCAATTCCAAACTTTTCACGTGGGGAATGCAATATAGTACACTGAAGTCAAGGAGACTGTGTTCTGCAAGAGAACCAATAAATAGGGGTACTAGCCCCTTCTTCAAATGTACAATATTTGGCTTTTTGTGGAAATGTATAAACTCTTACTGTGCATTAATTCACCACCTTAGTTCCCTAATTCTTGAGCCACAGCTCTCTTTGTCTCTTTGATCTGTCTTCACAACTGATGTAAACAGAATTCAGAGCATTAAAATGCTTACCTGGGTAGGCTGGAGTTGTGGCATAGTGAGTTCAGCCACTGTTTGGGACACAGCATGCCATATCAGAGTGCTGGTTCAAGTTCCAGCTGCTCTGCTTCTGACCCAGCTCCCTGCTGATATGCCTGGGAAGCAGCAGAGGACAATTCAAGTGCTCGAGTTCCTGCCATCTACATGGCACACCTGGATGGAGCTCCTGGTTCCTGGCTTCAGCCTCGCCCAGCCCTGGCTGTTGCTGTCATTTGAGGAATAAATTAGTGGATGAAAAATCTCTGTCACTCTGCCTTTCTTAAAAAAGCAGAAAAAAAGGAGGATGTCTTTTCATACTGTAAGGTTTCAACGGGTGCAGCTTCTAGTTAGTGGAATACATTTTATCGTATGAAACTCATGCATTATTTGTGGGATTTAAACTTACTGCCTTTTTTTTTTTTTTTTTACAGGCAGAGTGGACAGTGTGAGAGAGAGAGACAGAGAGAAAGGTCTTCCTTTGCCATTGGTTCACCCTCCAATGGCCGCCGCGGCGCACCGCGCTGATCCAAAAGCAGGAGCCAGGTGCTTTTCCTGGTCTCCCATGGGGTGCAGGGTCCAAGCACTTGGGCCATCCTCCACTGTACTCCCTGGCCACAGCAGAGAGCTGGCCTGGAAGAGGCGCAACCGGGACAGAATCCGGCGCCCCGACCGGGACTAGAACCCGGTGTGCCGGTGCCGCTAGGCGGAGGATTAGCCTATTGAGCTGCAGCGCCGGCCTTTCGGCCTTTTTTTTTTTTTTTTTAAACGATTTATTTATTTGGAAGGCAGAGTTACAGAAAGAGAGACAAATCATCCATCTGCCCCAGTAAACCAAAAAGGGGCGCAAAAGCCAGAGGTGGGCCAGGCTGAAGCCAAGAGCCTGAAACTCTATCCGGGTTACATGTGGGTGGCAGGGGCCCAAGCACTTGGGCTGTCTTCTGCTTCTCCAGGTATGTTAGCAGGGAGCTCAATCAGAAGTGGAGTAGCTGGAACTCGAACTGGCGCTCATTTGGAATGCTGCAGAACTGACCCCTCTGCCTTTGTTTTCTGTCTTCATTTTGCATCTCTCCATTAGAGTTTATGCCTAACTTTTTTAAAATCTGGATATGGAGTAATAATTCACACTAGCATTAGTAATTTTCTTTAGTTGTGTGTGTGTGTGTGTGTGTATATATATATATATATATATATATATATATAAAAATTTCCACTCAGTGTCTCCCTTTCCCTATCTCCTTTGGAGGGAAATTCTCAGCAATAAGTCTTAATCACTGTGCTATATGTCCACCCCTGAACATAGTCTTGATTTTTTTTTTCTTATTTTAACTTGTTGACCTCCCACTTGGCATTTTGCTCTCCAGGTAGTAAGAGAAACCACATGAACATAGCCAGAGTTGTCTTAAATGACACTTCCACTACCTCAAGTTAACAGAAATTAATATAATCTGTTTTCCTAAGGATATTGCTAATTGTCTGTGATGATATATAGCAGTGGGTTAAAGAGAGACTAAGAAAATCCTATGTTTACTTTGATTTCCCACATGGCCACAATGGCCAGGGCTGTACCAGGCCGAAACCAGGAGCATGAAGCTTCTTCCAGGTCTCCACTTGGGTGCAGGGGCCTGGTGGTCACTTACCACAGCAAGTTTATAAAGCCACTTTTACAGATTTGTATCAGCAATCAAATAGAAGGCACTTTCTCAAAAAGCGTGGGCATCCTCATCAAGATCATTTATTTATTGTTATTTTTTTTTCTTTAGAAGATCATCAAAGTAGAAATTGGAGATGTGCTTCCTGGAAGGAATTCTGCGGTTTCATGAAGTGGTCCATTCCTGCCTTTCTTTATTTCCTGGATAACTTGATTGTCTTCTATGTTCTGTCCTATCTACAGCCTGTAAGTAACTATGACGAAGAAAATCTGATAAAAAGATATAGACAAATAAGTCCCAGAACTAAGCTTTTTTTTTTCTTGTTTTTCTTTATATTGTTGGTTTCTCATGGGCCCCTCTGGCTTTGCTGAAATTTTCCCTAAAACATAATGAGTACTGAATTACCAATCTGCCTAGTAGGGTCTCTCATTATTAGAGATAACTGTTTTAAGTTATGCTGAGTGCTTTAGGGCAGTTGCTCTCTGCCCCCAGGAAATCTAAGGCCACTCCTCTTTGTGTAGCCCTAATCAGTCTACTTATTTTCTGAGCCATCCTGTGCCCCTCAACCTCCCTCACCATCCAGGACCTCCAAGCAGATGCAGATGATTAACTCAGAGAATTATATACTCTCTACCTCTCTTGCACTTGTTTTAATGTAGTTTCTTTGCATGGTGTTTGTATGATTTTCTGTTACTTCAATCATTTCAATCAGTAAGTTCTTTGAGAGTAGGAATTGTATCGTTCCTACTGTAAATGCCATCTACACCTGAGAATGCTGGTAATGTTTTTTATCTTTCTTGGCATTTTCTGTGTCATTTTAGAAAGCCATTAGTAATCAGAATTGGAATTTAGTCTTCTGCTTTTATCTACTTCTTAGTTTGAGTTACATGTGTATTCTCCCAGAATTTTATAAAATGAAGACTTTTATTTCCTGTATTTTATTGAATTTTATAAAATGACGATTTTTATTCAATTTTATGAAATGAAGATTTTATGATTTAAAATCAGTTTTAAGTTTCTTTAAAAGTAAGATCAAGCATAGCTAGGATTTTTGGCACCAGTGCTCTACATGAAGCCTGGGTGTACCTTGGAAATATTACAGATCCTGTTCCACACTATCCTGATGAAGGGCATATCACAATAAAGCAAGTCAGACAAACTTTTGACTTTCCCAGTGCATTTAAAAATGTGTTTACACTATATTATGCTCTATTAGATGTGTGATAGCATTATATCTTAAAGAACAAACAAGGTATGCACCTTAATTTAAAAATAGATTATTGCCAGGGCCAGTGTTGTGACATAGCCAGTGATGCTGCCACCTGTGATGCCGGCATCTCACATGGGTGCCAGTTTAAGTCCTGGCTGCTCTACTTCCAATTCACCTCTCTGCTAATGCACCTAGGAAAGCAGTGGAAGGTGACCCAAGTGCTTGGGCCCCTGCACCCAAGTGGGAGACCCAGAAGAAGCTTCAGGCTCCTGGTTTCATCTCAGCATAGCCCTTCTGTGGCCATCTGGGAAGTGAACCAGTGAGTGGATAGAATATCTCTGCTTTTCTTATATCTCTCTGTAGCTCTGCCTTTCAAATACATAAATAATCAATCTTTTATATATTTAGAATTACATATATGTAAATACTAAAAAAGAATGCTGGTAATCATTTGGGCCTTCAGCAAGTTCTGTTTTGACTACTGAAGGGTCTTGCTTCAGCGTTGATAGCTACTGACTGAGCAGGGTAGTGATTGCTAAGACTGGGGTGACTGGCAATTCCTTAAAATAAGACAACAATGAAATTTGCTGCATCCATTGACTTTTCCTTTCATGAAAGATTTCTCTGTAACATGTGATATTAAATAGACAACATTTTAGTTGTAAAAGTTCTTTTCAAATTAGAGCTAATTATTTCAACTGTATTGCTGTATCAACCAAGTTTATGTGATGTTGTAAATCCTTTCTTATCACTTTGACAATGTTCACAGCTTCTTCACCAGGAGTAAATTCTATCTCAGGAAACCACTTTCTTTGCTCATCCACAAGAAACAACTACATATCTGTTCAAGTTTCATCATGAGATGGCAGCAGTTTAGTCATGTCCTCAGGATCTTATAATTCTAATCTCTTGCTATTCCCTCTACATCTGTGGTTATTTCTTCCTCTGAAGTCCTGAACCCCTCAAAGTCATCCGGGGGCTTGAATCAACTACCTCTAAACTCTTACTGGTGTTAGTATTTTGACGTCTTCCCATGAATCACAAATGTTATTAGTGGTATCTAGATTGGTGGGTCCATTCCAGAAGGTTTTCAGTTCTCTTTGCTTAGATCCACCAGAGGAATCATTATCTATGGCAAGTATAGCTTTACAGAATAATTCCTTGAAGGTTGTGTTAATAAACCTGAAAACAGCATTGATTTCCTTGTACATCTCCATCAGAACTTTCAAGTGATGAAATGTGTTGTCAATGAGCAGTAATATAGTGAAAGAAATCTTTTTTTCTGAACAGTGGATCTTAATAGTGGGCTTAAAATATTCAGTAAACTTTACAGTAAAGAGACATGTTGTTCCAAGCTTTGTTGTTCCATTTGTAGAGTACAGGCAGAGTAGATTTGATATAGTTCTTAAGGGCCCTTGAATATTTGAAATGGGAAGTGAACATTGACTATCTTAAACTCACCAGCTGCATTAGCCTAAACAAGAGCATCACCTGTCATTTGGAGCTTTGAAGCTAGGTATGGCTTCTCTCTAGCTATTCAAGTCTTGGAAGTGTCTTCTTCCTATGTAAGGTTGTTTGGTCCACATTGAAAATCTCTTGTTTAGCATACTCACCTTAATCAGTTCTCTCTCTTTTTAAAAAAAGATTCATTCACTTATTTGAAAATCAGAGTTACAAAGGGACAGGGAGAGACAGAGAAATCATCCACCTGCGATTCACTCCCAAGATGGCCACAAAGGCCAGGACTGAGCCATTATTCACATTCACTAAAGAAATGTTGATTGTATTTTATTTGTATCTCACAGATTAGTTCTGCATAGCCCTTTCCTACATCCCTAGTACCACAGCCAAATCGCAACTTCCTTCTTCTTCCTCCAACTTACTGCTTTGCTCTTCCTTCCTGATTGTGTACAGCCATGGGTATTACAAAATAAATCACGTGGCTACTCTGTTAAATGCTTTGCCTCAGTGTGTTTCAGAAATTAAATAGAGTCACATGGAAAGTTTGGGGGCAGAGAGCACCAATGTCTGTTTTATCCTATGTTATTGTATGGAGAGGCTTTTCAGAGTTTGTCATGCTGGCCAGGCTGCTTGGTTGGGTACATTTGTACTGCCCTGATGTTACTATTCGGGGCCACTGCTTCCCACTGTGACAGCCTCTTTCCTCATCTCCTTTTACTCTTCTAATGGGATTCACTGGCATTTGTCTACAGAGAAGTACATTGACAATTGTCCAATAAAAATTCATTAGAAAATCAAAGGTGTTATATTCTTGGAATTGTTAGTTTGTCTTGTATTTAACCTAATTTCTTTAATTTAGCTATATATTGGCCATGTTTGCTGGTCAGTGGTTATGCTATGGTACTTTAACAAATTTTAAAAAATGGAATTAAGTGGTGAATTTATTTTGGTACAAAACATTTGAAACCTATGCATAGTTTTTTCATAATTTGTGTTTTCCATGAGCTTTTTGAAGAGCCTTTATGCTCATGGATTTCAAAGGTTTTTGCATACCAAAATAAAGACTTAGCATTCAGAGCAACCTCAGCAATCCAAAGAACTGTCAAGTGTGATTTTGGTACTAACTAATGTCAGGTTGTCCAGGAAAATTGGTTCAGCTCCTAGAATAGTAAAGATGCTTAATTCTGTGTCTCAATTTTTTACTGTGTAAATGGGTCTAACATTACCATGCACCCACAGAAACAGTATTAAAAGGCTATAAAGCACTTTGAGAGCTTTAAAAAGTGTGCTTCATAAGCATAGTAAATGTTATCTCTTTACCTAAACCTTTGGAATTTGTAAAATATTTCTAGATCTGCACATAAGGATTATTTACACAAGTATTGCTTGAATTTAAACATGTATTTTCAAAGCCTGGACAATAATTGGATCATGTCTGCATAAATTTAACAAGCAATAAAAATGAAATTTAAGCCTCAAGTGAAATAGCTGCCCTAATAACCTCTCTGGTTTTTGACTAAAAAGCTTTTTTTGTTAGGTGAACCACCACGTTGGGAGATTTTTGAGGTCAGTACTTTCTTTGGATTGTAACTCTATCTTTTCTTTCTTTCTAGGCCATGGCTGTTATCTTCTCAAATTTTAGCATTATAACAACAGCTCTTCTATTCAGGATAGTGCTGAAGTAAGTAATTTGCTGTGAAAGCACATATCGTACTGTGAAGTGGCACAGCCCGGTTTCAGATGAGAGACTCAGAGCACTGAGCCCTCGGACTCTCAAGGCCAGGGTTTTGCTCCTAATTGGCTTTGTGTAGTGAGCACTTTGTTGAACACATGTGGAAGGCAGCTCCAGTGCTAGCCTGGCCAAACCTTCTGCTGTCAGATTTATGAAATGTCTCAAGCACCTCAAAAATAAGGTTTATAATTGGTATTTCAATTTTTAGTGCAAATTTTCAACAAAGAATTCAGTATTTGTTTATGCAGAACTTTTGTATACTATAGGGAACTGGAAGGGATTTCTAAGACTGTTAATATGTTTATAATTGGAGATGATAAAGAGGGGCAAATTCTTTATTAGCCACTTAGGCCACATAACTTAAGTTGTAACTGGCAAATGATTTACACAAGGAATCTAGTCAAAATTACAATTAAGGAGCAGGTATTAACATAAGAATTAAGTTAATACCAGGGACACTGGTATCCCATATTGGAGTTCTTAGTTTGCATCCTGGCTATTCCACTTTCAATGCACCTTCCTGCTAAAGTATGTTCTGGGAGGCAGCAGATAATGGCCCAAGTACTTACATCCCTGCTACTCATATGAGAGGAGTTTTGGACCCCTGGCTTTGGCCTGGCCCAGCCCTGCCTGCTGTAGGTATTTGGGGGAATAAACCAGTGGGTGGTAGATCTCTGTGTATCCATCTCTCTGCCTTACAAATAAAATGAATAAAAAATATGTATATATTCATTCTTTTAAAAAATTACAGTTGAAGGAGAATTCTAAGATTTCAGATTTTTGAACGGGCTGTCAGCAGGCTTTACTATCTCCTGGATAACTATTAAGTAGTATCAATAATTTTCAGCAAGTAGTCCTGCTGCAAAGCCAAGACCAGAGTATGCTAAGGCAAGGGGATGCTACTAGATCTGGGTGCTTAACACCAGTGTAATTTGTTACTCAATAATAATTCTGATAAAAATTTATTTCTTTTTACATGTGTTGTAGTAGTTCTCTTTAAGTTTGACATTCTTGTTCTAGTTAATTTCTTATTTCTCAATGTGCTACATGATATGCATTTTTCCGTAATGTATATGTACAAAAGGATGAATGCTTCATAAATAAATGCTCTAAATATTTATTGAATTCATGATGCCTTTATTATCTAAATTATGTTAAAATTCCTAAGACTTTTTTTTACCCTGAGGAAACATTCAATTTAACAGTTAATGTAAGGCATAGAAAAGGATAACTAGTACATTTAGCACACTTTAAATATTAGACTGAAATTTGCTTTATGCATCATGTTCTTCATTTTATTTGTGAATTGAGGGAATAATTGTAACTAATCAATTTAAAGGATGCTATTCCAAGACATTTAGTGTTCTTTGAAGCCAACATATGAAAATCACTTTGTAGAATAAAAAATTGACTTTTGAGAAATGTATATAAGCAATAATATTTTTATATTGATAGCTATAATAAAATTAGAGATATACTTTTATGGAGGAAAAAATTGGTTCCAACACATAAAAATTTCACTAGTAAGGAAACAAAGTTTTCAAATACATGAAGTTTTTAAAAATTTTTATTTATTTTAATTTTATTTGAAAGGTAGAAAAGACAGAAACAGAAATCTTCCATTTGCTGGTTCACTCCCCAAATGCTTGCACCAGACAGGGATGCACCAGGCTGAGGTCAGGAGCCCTACCATGTGAGTCACAGGGACCCAAGTATTTGAGCCATCTTCTGCTGCCTCCCAGTGTATGCGTGAGCCAGGAGGTGGATCAAAAGTGGAGTATCTGGGACTTGAACTAGGCACTCTGATAGAGGATGCAAGCATCCAAGAAGTGACTTAACTGCTGCAGCAAATGCCTGTCCCGTTTTTTTTTTGTTTTGTTTTGTTTTTTGTTTTTTGTTTTTTTTTTTTGCCAAGTGAAAGGGGATTTTTGTGTGTGTTTATCTCTTTTTTTTTCTCACTTGATATCTAAGGCAGTTGGGCCATCATTAGCCAAGCTTTTAGTGGACACTACAAATATTTAAGAATCTCTCATCATAGCAGAAAGTGAAAAAGATTTCTGTGAAATCCAGGTATTATATCAGAATTATATACATTTAAAACTGATTTTATCAAAGAAAATAGAAAGTATATATGAGTGTTGCCTGTCTTAAAGTTGGCTAGTAATTTTAGCTCTAACCCATAGTGAATATTCCCTGTGAAATTTCTAAGCATTTAACTATTTGTATTGAGAAAGTTAATTCTTAGTATTGCCAAATCCAAATCTGTTCATAAAGTAAAATGAAAATGTTTCTTTTAATATTACTAATTATATTACATTGTGCTAATCTAAACAATGTATTTCTTTTATTTGGAAGGCAAAGTTACAGAGAGAAAAAGGGAGAGACAGAGAGAGAGGTCTTCCAACTGTTGGTTCACTCCCCAAATAGCTGCAATGGCTGGGGCTGGGCCAAGCTGAAGCCAGGAGCCAGGCACTTCATTCTGGTCTCCCACATAGGTGCAGGAGCCCAGGGAGTTGGGCCATCTACAGCCACTGTCCCAGGCACATTAGCAGGGAGCTAGATTGGAAGTGGAACAGCCGGTACTTGAACTTGTACCCATATAGGATGCCAGCATCACAGGCAGGGGCTTAACCTGCTACATCACAACACCCAGCCCCTATTTTGCTAATTTTTATAGTTAACGTTGGGATGAACTAAAATTCAGTAACATTTTTTGCATACTTTTCCTCTTATTTTCAGGTCAGTAATAATGATTTAAATACTTACATTTAAAAGACAATAAATGAATCCACTTCTATTATTTCCACACTGTAAACTTAGCTCCTTGAATTAGTCTTTTTTTTTTTTTTTTTTTTTTTTTTTTGGACAGGCAGAGTTAGACAGGGAGAGACAGAGAGAAAGGTCTTCTTTCCGTTGGTTCACCCCCCAAATGGCCGCTACGACCGGCGCACTGCACCAATCCGAAGCCAGGAGCCAGGTGCTTCCTCCTGGTCTCCTATGCGGGTGCATGGCCCAAGCACTTGGGCCAACCTCCACTGCCTTCCCAGGCCACAGCAGAGAGCTGGACTGGAAGAGGAGCAACCGGGACAGAACCGGCGCCCCTGACAGAACCAGTTCTAGCCCCAGAGGACCAGAGCCCGGGGTGCCGGCGCCACAGGTGGAGGATTAGCCTAGTGAGCCATGGCGCCGGCCTCCTTGAATTAGTCTTAACTTGACTGATTGAAAAAATCAACACTGAAGTTCCTCTAAATAATAGAGCTAAAATAATATGCTAGTAAACCTAATACTGTCTTCTATGAGAATGTTTTTCAAGGATATCTGTTATGTTTTTAACTTTTTTAAAAGATTTATTTGATTTATATTAAAGGCAGAGTTAAAGAGAGAGAGGGAAATACACAGAGAGAGAGAGATCTTCCATCTGCTGGCTCACTTCCCCATTGGCTGCAACATCTGTGGCTGGGCCTGGCCCAAGCCAGGAACCAGGAACTTAATCCAGATCTCCCACATGGTTGCAGGCACCCAAGCACTTGGGCCATTTCCCACATCCCACTGTTGTTCCTAGGTACATTAACAGCTGGATTGAAGTGGAGCAACTGGGACTCCAGCCAGTGCATTATAAGATGTCCACATTACAGGCTGCGGCTTTAACCCATTATGCCACAATGCTGGCCTCTTTAACCTCTTTTTTTTTTTTTTAATATTTGTAGTCAAAAAAATGAAAAAGCACAGAACATAAAATTGACTATCTTAACCAGTTTTTCAGTGTACAACTCAGTAGTATTAATATGTTCACATTGTTGTAAAACAGATCTTGAAATTTTTCATCTTGCCGATTTGAAATTCTGAAACCATTAACCAACTCTACCCCTTCCCCTATACTTCCCTAACTAGTGATGTACTTTTCCATAATATGCTTTTTTTTAAAGATTTATTTGTTTATTTGAAAGTCAGAGTTACAAAGAGAGAGGGAGAGACAGAGCTCTTCCGTCTTATGGCTCCCTCCCCAAATGGCTACAACAGCCAGGGCTGGGCCAAGCTTTAGCCAGGAGCTTCTTCCGGGTCTCCTACATGTGTGTCAGGGCCCAAGCACTTGCACCATCTTCTGCTGCTTTCCCAGGTGCATTAGCAGGGAGCCAGATCAGAAGTAGAGCAGCTGAGACTCAAGCTGGCGCCTGTATGGGATGCCAGTGTTGCAGGCGGAGGCTTTACCCATTATGCCACAATACTCCCTCACCTCACCCATGTACTTTTCATTTCAATGAATTTTTCTACTTTAGGTACTTCATATTAGTGGATTTATATAGCATTTTTCTTTCTGTGACTGGATATTTCACTTAACATATTGCGCTCAAGTTTACAGCATGTAACAGTATTCCCTTCCTTTTAAAGCTGAATAATACTCCACTGTATGTATATTCCTCTATTATTACATTTTAAAATCAACTTTGTTCTATTTTGAACTTCTTATTGTTTGTAATATGTTATTTTTCCCTATTTTATACTCTCTAAAAATCTTTTGATGATATTTTTGCCCTTGGCAATGAAATTTTTTTTAAAGGATTTTATTTACTTACTTGAGAGGTAGAGTTACAGACAGTGAGAGGGAGAGACAGGGAAAGGTCTTCTGTCCGCTGGTTCACTTCCCAGATGGCCACAATGGCCAGAGCTAGGAGCCAGGAACTTCTTCCAGGTGTGCCGCATTAGTGCAGGGGCCCAAGGACTTGGGCCATCTTCTACTGCTTTCCCAGGCCACAGCAGAGAGCTGGATCAGAAGCGGAGCAGCTGGGACTAGAACTGGTGCCCATATGGAATGCCGGTGCCACAGGTGGAAGATTAACCTTCTGCGCCATCGCAGATATGAAATGAAATGTTAACCTAGGAGCAGCAGCCTAAGAGTTCTATCAAAGCTATTAGTTCCTTTAACATAATTAACTCATTTTTCATTTAGA